ATTGTGTCCCGCCGTCGTGTTGTCATTGTTTCGAGTTTCAATTACTGGAATGAGAGTGGGGAGGATCTGTTCTCAGGTGCGGGGCTCGACGCTGGATGCCGGACAAGGGTTCATTATAAAAAAGGAAGTCCCCCCCCCCCAAAAAAATAAAAAAAAAAAAAAAAAACAAAAAAAAAAAAAAANTTATATTGTTATGATCTTGCGTGTCATTTATATAGGTAACTTATACAATGTATTTTAGTTTAGATTTTCAATTTTGCTGTTCAAATATTTCCTAATTTAACCCCATGTAAGAAAAATCGCTTTAAAAAAAAAAAAAAAGAAAAAAAAAATAATATCCAGGCTTAACAGTACTATAAGATGCATGCAATATTATTGTCAAAAAAAATAAATAAATAACAAAATTACCGTTTAAAATTTAATTTTTCTTCTTCACTTTATTTCATTCTTAAAATACCGTTAAGGGTAATAAGGGGAGAGACTGCAATCAGGTTAGCACATTATGAAATTATTAAAACAAAGTAACGTTAGACCCGAAAAAGGAACGCAAAAAAAATAAATAATAAAAATAAATAAAAAATAACAACGAACGTGTCGGCAGGAAGCCTTCGTCAGCGAACCAAACAGAAAAAAAAACAGAATAAAATAAAAAATAGCACTTAGCTTAAGAGTAGTATCCAGTAGTACAGCGAATCAAACCATGGATGTTCTTTTAAATATTTATTTAATATTATTTTATTCATTTATTATTTAATTACACATTGATTCACTACAAATGAACACCTGTATTAGTAAAAACAGTGAAATTGTTTCTTGGCTGCAAAAATAGCAGACATCTCTGGCTTTAGATTTTAATTCCCTAACATCAACAGTGACCTGAGATTATCATCGGACAAGATTGTTCTCATATTGTTCTTCACGTATTTCATTCTTGAAAATGTTTATCCACACAGCTATGTTGTTCCAAAGATTGAAAGGTACTTGATGCAAAAGTTTTGACATTAGGAAAGTCTTCCTTAAGCAAATACTGGTAAAAACTCACCAGTCATTCGTGTAACTTGTCCCTAAGGAGGTCATTTGCTTGCAACAGTTGCAACTCAATGACCTCCATCTGCAGTTCATTATTTTGCAACGTAAGTGATTGGTTGGCAGGTTGGAAAACGTAACGCGCTATTGCGTGCCTCTATTTCAATTCGGTATAAACATAACGTCCACGTAGGCGGCGGCTGATCTTGGCAATATTTACGTAAATTTCCGTAATTTTTTTCCGTAGACAAAAAGGTCTCGACGGGCTGGATGAGAAGACATCGCGGGCCAAGCGGCCCGCGGGCCGTAGTTTGGAGACCCCTGCTGTAGTACATTGGATACTTCTTCTAAGCTAAGTGCTATTTTTTAATTTTAGTTTTATTCTGTTTTTTCTGTTTTGTTTGCTGACGAAGACTTCCTGCCGACACGTTAGTTGTTTTGTTGCGTTCCTTTTTCAGGTTTAACCTAACTTTGTTTTACTAATTTCATATTAAAAAATCGTTACACGGTTTTATTAAAACTTTTCAGCAGTTTTCAGATACCACAGAATTGTTTGTGTCTGTTTGTGGTCTGTGACTAAAATATCGTGGTGCTCACTCGAACGACGAACACTGTTGATGAAGAGTGCAGGGTTAATTAGCGCGGAGAAATGTTGACTATCCTTTAGGAATGAAATTCCATCAAATAAATGTGAATTAGCAAACAGACAATTAGCAAACAGTCAATTAGCAAACAGTTTAATTATTAAACAGTAAGTTAGCATGTCTTATTGACGGTGTTGAGATAGATTTGAATCTCCAAAATGTCCAACGACATCTTTGTCCGATCAATGGCAGCAAAATGGAATTAAAATTTAACACCATGGCAAGATTCAATTGTTAAAAAGTTTGTTAGAAGTGTTCCCTAAATTGATAAAAAGTTTTGATTTGACATGGACGTAGTTAGATAATCATTACAAACGGACTGACATGAAACCAAACAAATAATTTTACCGTATGAGTATAAAAAAAACAAAATCACTATTAGATTAGATGTAAGAAGAGCGATTACTCTTAAATTGAGGTGCTAAAATAATCTACAGGGTTTTTTCCCTTGAACACTTTACCCAACAAAACATGATCTAATGATGAGGCTAACTTAGGAATTCTATGCTGTTCTTTTGGGAGATATATGTCCCTCACGATACTAACAGTTCATTTTCTAGAGCAATGGTACTCAAAGTATGCACCGCGAAAGAAGACAAGATTTAAAAAATAAATTATTTCGCCATTTTTTTTTAAAAGGGGAATTAACAAAATTTTTGAAAGATGTGGTAATGCGGTCTAACTGATGTGTCACTTATTATTTTTGCAGGGCTAGGTTTTCGGCGGTCGCTTGATAATAAACATGTATTGGCAAAACTACATGTAGAGAAAAACATGAGGATGGCTATTTCTGTTTGATGTCAAGATTTGAGAAAATATCAGCTGACAACCACATTATACTAGTTACAATTAGTTGATTTTGTCCAGCTACATTTTTTGGTGGGATATTAAATAGTTTTTTTGTTGTTTAATTTTACCAAACACTTTAATTTTAAAAAAAATATTCACTATCTCACAGCGTACTTGTTGGATTTTAATATAGTGCACCACTGGAAAGCCTGGACTAAACTTGGGCGTCTTGAAAAAGCCTGGAAACAACCTGGTTACTTTGGGAAAGCCTGGGCTAAACTAGGGCACTAATTTAAAAAAATATATAAACAAAACTCTGCTATTCAGAAAACTTTATTAAAAAGGGACACATTTAAAGAAAACACAAACACTTTCATAATAATTGATGAGATGTGCTCTATTTGTATGCACCCGTTAAAGTCTTTTAAGCTTATCTAGCTTGATATACATGTAATAGAGTCAGTGGCGTGGCTAGGGGGTGGGCGGGGTGCGGACCGCACCGGCCAACACCATCTCAGGGGGGTCACACCAAATTAAAAAATTGCATATCAACAGAGCACAGTACTGCACGATCTAACAGAGCACAATACTGCTCGATCTAACCGATGTCAATGTAAGGATATACGATCACACGTTGGGTTTATTACAAGTTCAAGGTTGATGCGTCCGAAATGTGGAGACCACATAATTAGGTCAGAAAATCGCCATTATAACCATGATTCAATGCTGATTGAAGTGTTCAGTAACTATCGTAAGTGACACTCTTTTGCTGACAATGCGTCATGCATAACATTTTTTTCGGTACTCTTGATAGAATATATTTATTCTTTAATGCATCCACTCATCGATGGAATGTTTTAATTAAAGACACTGGAATGTCGGCTAAAAGACTGTCAACAACACTTTAGAGTGCTTATCATGATGCTGTTAAAACAGTAAAAGATAAGTTTGATGAATGTGTGGCGACAATTGAAGCTCTATGTCAGGTCTGCACAACATACGGCCCGCGGGCCACATGCGGCCCACCAGCACCCACTTTGCGGCCCGCGAAGTAACGAAATATTCTTTATTATTTCTTTAATAGCTTTATCCCCTGTCCTATTATCTTTCGGCTCGTAAAGGTTTTTCATAAAGTATTACGGCCCGCATTACATTTTGAGTTGTGCAGGCCTGCTATATGTGATCAGAGGCGTAGCGAAGGTGTTTGGCGCCCGGGGACAAGATTCATTTTAAAGCGCCCCCTTTTCTTTTTTTCAACTCTCAAACCCATTATTTTTACCAATAATATAATACCAAATCACACTTTGGCGCCCCTAACTAGCTTGCGCCCGGGGACATCTGTCCCCCTCTGCCCTCCCCTCGCTACGCCTCTGTATGTGATCCTCTTGACAAATAGGATACCAGAGGTACAGCACAAGGTTTTTTTTACATGCTGTCTGTCATGTCACTTTTATCTGCTACCTTTACCTTTGGGCTGGTCTACTTGAGGAAGTTAATCTTACACAGCAGTATCTGCAGACTAAAGGCTTTATTCTTGACAAAGTGGTGACCAATCTAGAAGCCTTGAAATTGTTATTGCAAGAGAAGCGCTTTCCCTTGGTGGAATTTGCTATTGAAAATTCACTTTTAAAATAAGACCAATATGTGAGAAGATTAAGGTTTAAGAAGAGAATGACAGAAAACCATTTTAATAGCTGATGGACTCACCCTGGGAGAAGAAAGCAGTAGTGAGACTCTGGAGTAAATTGAACTCCAGATCAGATCTTCTACGAAGTCAGGGTGAGGGGGCCCAACTCAGTAATAGCTACGCCGCTGTCCAGCACCATCGGGGCTGTATAATTTTTAAAAAATGCTTTAAAGTGTAAATCGTTTGAGTGTGAACCGAAATAAGGCTGAGTTGATGCAGAGAGGAAGTGAAATACATGCAAAGGATAAACGCCGAGGCTATTAGTTGTATTGTTTATATTATAAGCTAACTAATTTATGTTTAGCAATTAATATATTTTTTTCAAGATAATAACTGTTTTATGTTTTTAAAACGCTCAATTTTTAAAAGTAGGTTACTTTTAATACATAGCCTTACACTCTTTGGCCTCTAAATTATTATACGTTTATATTATGAAAAAGAATGTCTAAAGTTTGTTCACCCCCCCCCCCCCCAAAATCCCACAACTTTTTGAGAAAATTCCCACGAGTGTCCATCTTGGGATCCCAATTAGAATGGGATCTCAACGGGATATGGGATCCCATTTGAAAAACCGGACGGCATCGGGTAACCACTAGGAAAGAAATCCAACCGTGAAATGGAATTATTCCGAATGTATTCAGAATACATTTGAAAATGGGATCCCATGAGGTTCGGGATCCAATCATCGTGATCCCACTGGGAACAGGATCCCATCGGGATCGTGATTTAATCAATATTTAATCGGGATCCCATGCATCCCAGGAATTAAATAATAAATAAGTAACTTAGTATTATGTACATGAATTTAAAAGTTATGAGCCAAAGTATTCCGGCGAATAAAAAATACTACGTGCCATGACCCCACGAGAGACACGATCATGAATTGACCCCGAGTATAAACACACAGAAGCGCTACGAGAGTTAAACAAGGGCTCGTTGAAACTGCACTGTCCACAGGTCATTCGCTTATTTCATCTATTGACCAAAATGGGGGACGCAAAAACACTCGTTGAAGCCAAAATAGCCGGGAAGAAAGTGATGGTATTCTCCAAAATTGGTTGCCCTTATTGCAGCAAAGCTAAAAATACTCTGTCCAAGTATTTGGGTAATGGTCTGTCGGAGTCTGACTACGAAGTGCTAGAGATTGGTGACTTGGCAAATTGTTCGGCCATTCAAGATTATCTTGAATCTATCACTGGGGCGAGATCGGTAGGCTAATGATTTTTTAATGCTTTCATTTTCTAGACTAATCAAAATAGTATATTCTTTTAATTCTTTTCAAAAAATTATATTGCTTTTCATTGTTTTTTGTTACCAGGTATTCCATAAAAAAAATTATTCTTCTAAAATTGCTTGTTTTCATGTGTTTCTGTAATTAGTTGAAATAACACATTCTCTCCCGTCCTCTCCCTTTTTTATCACATGTGTCATGTGAGTTTGAGCTATTTTTTTTTAACCCTGTGGCCACCATATTTTTTTGCCTCGACCCATGAAGTTCTTTCACTGGTTGAGGCAAAAAAAAATGGCGGCTGTGGGAAAAAAAACATGGCACCGATAGTTTGCATTTTCCTGCATTTTTCTTCTAAACTAAATATAGAGTAGCCTAAAATAAAAGTAGAGGCGTCGCTTTGGGCCCAGCGACTGCAAGGGGTCGCGGATGTATAAGATGTATACCGTAATTATAAATAATTATTTTAATTATTTAATTTTAAAATCTGTTTTCGGTGGGCTTAAAATGCCTAAACAAGTGCAACTGTCAAAGTTGTACCAGTGGGCATCATATATGGTCATGCCTATGATGGTTATTTACACAAGACTTCTTTACTCTTACTCTTATGATTTTGGCGTAGGCGTACAATGTACGATTTAGAGATGTCTTTTACGATTTACACAGAACCTCAGAAACGTGTCAGACCTAGGATTTTAGGATTAAGAGGGTTGTAAAAAATATATATAATCTGGTTGTTTTTTCATTTTAAAAGTAAATTAAAAGTACATTTACTGTTATTAATTTTATCTCCTTTTTATTATCCAGTGCTGAATGGATCAAGAATTACTTGGGGTGGGGGGGACTATCTATTATTATATTACCTTTGACCTGAGAGGGTAACAGGGTGATGTTGATTTAGATTTTGTGAGTGGGGGGGGGGGGGTTGAGGTGTTTAAATAACACCAAAAAAGGTAAAATTTAGCAAGTTTTTGAATGTACGATTGAGGGTAACCAGATCTGTTTAGACTTTAAGTTGTTTTTAAAAGAAATACACATTTTACAGATTGCGATTGTTTTGAGAGATGCAGTTTTATTTTTAAAATAACTTATAAGGTGGCCACTAGTATTGACTGTAAACCTGTAGCAATTGTTTTAGTAAATGCAAAGAGAATATGGCCATAATTTTTCCCATGGCCGCCATCTTGGTTGCCCCAACTCGTAAAAAGGGTCACAGGTCGTATCAGCAAAGGAGGTGGCCGTGTAAATATAAAATAACTCACGTCTGCTAAAATTAGGAATAAAATGTTAAAATTCAATGAAAAAATGTCAACCGGTAGATAAATTTCGAGGTGAAAGTAGTTACTTTATTGAATCCGTCTAGATATGCAGCAAGAAGCGTTAACAACTGCGGTCGCTCATTAACATATTATAATACCCAACCAATGAAGTTTTAAAATTATTATTAATCAAACAATAAAATTTTAATTCAAAACATTCCATGTCATATTAAGGTAAATTTAACCATAGTAACAAAAACATGTTAATGACATCATGGCGCCATCTCTTTGCACTGACCATGGTTTTAAATGCATTGTCTTGACTTGTTGTTGGTCCTACATTCAGTGATGTAGAATTTTAGGAAAAACATAAAATTTTAAACATTGATTGTAATTTGTCAGTGTAACCAAAGGTCAAATTTTCGTACCCCCTTCCGCTGTAGCACTAAATACATAAAAAGGTTTCACCCCCAAAAATATATCATACTGTTGTTACCTAGCAGATTAGTTAAATTGTCACCATAAACAATATACGTAATCTATGGATAGCTATAATTTCATTCCAGTAAAAGTTTAGAGCCTTTTTTAAATTTTGTTGTTAAAGACTATTTTAATCATAATCTTCATTAGACTTTGTTATTATTACATTGAAATAGATATTTATTTTAAGGATAGTATTTTCACCCTTTATTCTTATCAGATAGGCCAATGTATACTTTGGCCATACCCATGAAGGGGTGGGTCATTTAAAGGTTCTTTTAATTTAAGCATATCAGTCAGTACCAGTAATGAAAACAAATTGAATTTTTAGAATCACCACAGAGCAACACAAATCCGTGGCATAAATTGAAGCGCGGTGAGCCTAGGCCTTGGCTGGGGTACTGTGCTATATAAAACCTCTTTAATTATAATAATAAACATATTTAATTATAAGGAAGGTTCACTTTTTTCTTTGGGACTTTTTTAAACTGAATATGTCTTTTTTTTTTAACAGGTTCCAAGGGTGTTCATCAATCAAAAATTTGTTGGCGGGGGAGATGATGTGGTTGCTAAAGATAAAAGCGGAGAGCTGAAAAAATTACTAGGTGCTTGACTGCCTAGGAAATGTGCTTTATAAATAACCTCTGGAATTTCACAAGTTTTACACATTTTGTTATTTTTTTAAATTGTGCCTCATACTCATTTTTAAAAAAATCTTCATAAATTTAAATAAAAATGATGTTGAACATTAAAATTTATTTAAATAGTTGCAAGTGGAATATTAAAAATAATAGATGTGTTTGTTATTGAATTCTAAAGAAAGCATCGGAACCACTGAATATTTTTCTATGCTCTTATATCTTTGTGATTAAAATATTTATTTTGTACAAATGGCCATTCATTTGTAGCCTACTTTTGAATTGTAATAATTGTTGTCTTTAATTTATTGTATTTATTTCAAGCTAGAGGTTTAAAAAGGTCAATTAAAGTAGTTGAGAAAACTGTTTCAATAACGATTTGTTTTTTTTGGTTCTGTTTTTTTTATAAAATAAAGATTTTAAAAAATGTGTTCTAACTTTCAAATTTAAAAAAAAGTTGGTTAATCCACATGTATTGAACAAGAAGATATATAATTACAGCTATACTATTTTCAGGACTAAAGATTTTACAAAGCAATTATACGCAGTCGACTGGGGATAACACTTAGCGTTATACGCAGTCGGCAAGTCACCTGCGGTCTATATGTTAAAGTATTAATCGATAAAGTTAAAGGTACCATGTTTTCAGGGTGACTGGGTGGTCGAATGGTACAAACTGAGCAAACCTCGAGTTGGTGGCCTGGAGATCAATTCCAGCCAAAGGCCAATCAAGAAAAATAAACATGTGATTAGCATCATAAGATGGCTTCCACTTAGCATGATAATGGGCCCAATAATAATAAGAAATACTTGCCATAAAGTTATTTGAAATTGATAACTCAACAGTAAGATTGGAGCACCTACTTACATGTGTTCACTTTTTATAATGTAAATAAACATAATTATTAAATTTGTTAAGCATTTTTTGCCAAATAGTTTTTTAGACATTCACAATTAGTTCAGTTAGTTAGTGTTGGTAGTATTTAAAAAGGTGATAAGAGTGAGAGACTAAAAATAGGTTAGGTAAAAGTAAGGGTAAAACCATGAGAATAGGACACAACACTCCAATGATGTTGGCAAGAAGTCTTCAGTGAAAATTAGTAAAAACAAAAGTAAAAAACAAAATTGAACATTTCACTTTCACTATGGCAGCGATTCTCAACCTGTGGGTCGCGACCCCTTTGGGGTTGCACGACCCTTTCACGGGGGTCGCCTAAGACCATCTGAAAACTCATATACTCTACAATTATTTAAGTATCAACGAAAATAATTTGTGGTTGGGGGGTCGCCACAACATGAGGGACTGTAATAAAGGGGTCGCGGCATCAGAAAGGTTGAGAACCACTGCACTATGGGGTTGCAATATTGTGCCGTATCAGAGAGGATAGCAATAGTGACACATAAGTATAAGCTGTCACCAGGGATCACACAGTTAGTTATAGTAAAGAATAGACAAATAAGTATTCTGTTTGGACTACCTAGGCTTTTACACAACAGTATATATATTTGTTTGGGAATATGGAAGTGATTTCAGGTCACCACGTAAAATAGATCTTGATTTTTTTTTTTTTTGTACCAAAGTTTTCAGCTGTTGGCTATACAAAAACTATAACCTCAACAAAAAAAATTAGTTAACACAAAATATATACTAACAACACAAACATATATTATTATAAGTAGAAGAATAACATTAACATTACATTGGAATGTAATTCCTGAATTAGTAAGTAAAACCAACCACATAGTCATAGCAACATATAAAAACATTATCAATCAGAATACAGAACTAGACTTAAACCCTGGAAATGCCTTAGGGCAGTGGTTCCCAAACGTTAAGTTTGGCGGACCGGTGAACAAGTTTCGAAATTTTACCAGGGACTGGTGCATGATTTATTTTTATACTTTTATTTCTATTTGACAATAAATATTTATGTTATGGGGACCGGAAGCGTTAGGCATGCGGACCGGTGAAGGTCCACGGACCGCCATTTGGGGACCAGTGCCTTAGGGCATAATCATCTTCTTAGTCTTAGACTCTAAGAAATTTAGACTTCGACTTAGACTTATAATATATAAGAATAAAATACAAGCAATAATACTAATAATAGCACTAATACTATTGCTATCATTCAATATTAATTAATATTACTAAAATTTACGTTAAACACATAAAAAGTTATAGTTCAAAACAACCCATAATGTAGCTAATTACGCATGATACTTTTTTTCTTTAAATTGTCAAACTAGCGGTAATAAACCCAGAGGCGTAGCGAGGGGGGCAGGGGGGACAGATGTCCCCGGGTGCCAGCTAGTTAGGGGCGCCAAAATGTGCTTTGATATTATTTTATTGATGAAAATAATGGGTTTGAGAGTTCAAAACAGAGGCGTAGCGAGGGGGTGGCAGGGGGTGGGACAGATGTCCCTGGGCGCAAGCTAGCTAGGGGCGCCAAAATGTGCTTTGATATTATATTATTGGTAAAAAAATAATGGGTTTGAGAGTTGAAAAAAAGAAAAGGGACGCTTTAAAAAAGGATCTTGTCCCCGGGCGCCAAACACCCTCGTTACGACTCTGGTTAAAAAGAAAAAAGAAAAAAAGGGCTCTTTAAAATGGATCTTGTCCCCGGGCGCGAATCTTGTCCCCGGGCGCCAAACACGCTCGCTACGCCTCTGAAAAAAACTTATTTGGCTAAATTCCCAGCCGATTGCGCATAACGCTGTTATACGCAGTCGGCTGGGAATACCACTCAGGGTTATCTACTTAGATCTATTTGATTACTGAATTTTGGAAGTTTAAGTTTCCTGATTGAAGAAAACTGATCTAAGTTTATTTAAAATTTTATAGAATTGATATAGAAATTAATTTGTAAAAAAAAATAATAAATGTATGGCTAATGTGAAGAGATGGTTCCATGACGTCATTTGCTTGTTTATTTAGTTGCCGTGAATTAGGGTTCAGGTTAGGTTTAAGGATATAAATGGACTTGTCGCTTTACGTACTATGTAATGCAAACGGGCCCGGGTAAAAAATACAAAAAATAATTATAAAACTAAAGCTACTAACTTGTTTTGTTCTTTAATGAGGAACAGGAAATAGTGAATGTATTGGTTGTGAGACAGAGTTTAATCTATATTTCTGAACGAAAGAAGGTAGATATTGCCTATACTTAATGGTATGTGAATTTTTTTAAAAACTTTATGTTCAAAATATGTCGTTTTTCGAAAATGCCATACATCTTTTTCAGACCCCTCCAAATTACGACCTAGTTTTAGTGACAATTTAAAGGTAGTAAAACGGAGGTTTTACTGTGTGTAGCGTAGCGGAGGAGTGGGCGTGATGGTGAGATATGTAGAGTTACAGTTGACCATGCATTGCAAAATCTAAATCTTTAATAAGGGTGTTCCCCCATAAAGTTATTTGGCATCGCCTTGTGTGATAAAAGCCTTACCAATAAACGTACCAGCAGTCTATAATGTCAGGTATATTGGTCGAAAAGAGGAAGTTATTATTTTGGGTACACATTTACTTTTGTGGTGTGGAGAATTTTGCTTTGTGTGAGTGTAGCATATGAACAGTGGGGTAGCTACAGTTTCTAAGAGCAGGGCGGTAATTAATTTTGCTACCATCAAATCAAATTGGCGAAAAATACAATGCAAACCGAAAACAAACATTGAATTAGAAAGAAAATAAGTGCCCCCCTCCCCCCCCCTCTTCCCATGCAATAACGATTCACAAAATAGACGCTACATTTATTTCAATCAAGGGAAAGGTGTCCTTCCACTGAGCTTTCCCTCGGGCTAGTGTGTCGTTGTATTGTGTTCACTGAAGACGTAAACATTAGCATGCCTGAGTAATGTGTTAGCCAAGAGTCAAAGAGTTGTACCCCAACCCCAACCCCCTCCTTAATCCCGGCTTACGACCCTGGTGTGGACTTGTGTGTTAATTGATCTCACATCAGAAGATAAATCTCGTAGCTGTCGAGTCGCTGGTAAGCCAATTCTTTTAGTAAACACTCATCTTGGATTATAATCAAGTTAAGTATAATGAAAGGACAAATTGTTTGTAATACTTTATTGAAATAATAGCATACATTGTTAATAAATTATATAAATGAGAGCACACGAGGTGCTAGGTGGCCGAGTAGTTTAAACTGAGCAAATCCAAATGATGTTCCCTTGGATTATCCAGCGGCATGGAGAGAGGCGATTTGCTGTTGGGAATTAGCTTATAATTCTTGAAGAATAATCCTTCGTCCTCCGAAGCCCACACCATCGTCACATTTTGACGTACGGATGCCAGCAAAAAAATGGGAGCACAGTAGTGTATGTAGGTAATTGGTACACTTTTCAAAAAGAAGTTATAGTTGTAGCTTTAAGATTTATTTGGATCGATGGCGTTTAAAAAGTGAAAATTATTGATATCTAATTTATTTTTGTTGGTCGATTCTAAAGAAAGTTTTGATTTAACTTTGTGAATTATTTGGGATAACTAACTAAAATAATAACTGCTAACAGATAATTGAGAAATATATTAACAAAAGAGCGGTCAATTGAAGTGATTTAATTTAAGGATTTAAAGAAGATAACCATTAGAGTAACACATCATATATATCCGTAATAGTCATAACATTATCCAAACAGACGTCATTTAATAAATCCTACTCAAAATGACCTCATTTAAATTCAAAATGGCCGTCAAATTTTCATATGTCATATTTGACTATGAACACAACATGATCAATAGGCCTATTATCCAAAATATAGGGTCGTGTATAGGCCTACTTGTTTGTATTGAAAAGATAAACTATATTAAGTAGCATATTCACGGGCAAACTCATGTGTTCCTTAGAATATTTAATTTATTTGATATCTTCAAGAACAACAACAACAAAAATCTGATGAAAAATGTACCATATCATATATATGTTCAATATATTCAGATAATAAATATATAGGTAGATACTTGGGGTTTCTTTCAATTCTTTATTCATTTTGCTAAGGGCAACTTTAGCCTACTAATTGCAAATATGATTGACATTAGGAATTTCCAGTGCTTTTTTTTGTAAAAAAATAGGTGCCGGTACTCAGTGATGGATTGCTTAACTTTTAACTACCAGTTCGCACCTCGATGCAAGCTAAATCACAACTGCAAAGATACTAAATGTCTAAAACAATTTTATTTTATATATAACCAGCTTAAATTGTTTCATTGTTACTTTATTATAGTATACCGTATTAATTAATAATAAACGTTAAAATACAAGAAAAGCAATAATTTTTTCCCCACATTGAAAAAGGTACCGGCACAAAAAAAGCACTGGGAATTTTAGCCTTAAAATAAAATAAAGTATTTTTTGGGGGTGGGAAGTATTTCAAAGAGGAAGTTTCGATTTGAACCCGTGATACCGCTTTATCGGTCTGCGCCTTAAAAATCCCCCCCCCCCCCCCCAGATGCATGGCATGGGTTCCCCATTCCTTACCGCTTTATCGGGCTGCGCCTTAAAAATCCCCCCCCCCCCGCCAGATGCATGGCATGGGTCTCCCATTCCTTACCATAGATCGACAATCGACAGTCCCTATATAAAATGTGTTGTAAGTGGTTACAGGAAATTTAATCGAAAGAAAATTTGTCGACGGAAATTTGAACGAACGAAAATTTGGTCGAATCTTTTTTTCAGTTCACCTCACACGTTAAATTCGTTAAAAAAATC